TTGTGTTTGCTCCATTACAATTAGTGTGTGTTTAAGACAGGTCTTTCATAGTACTGCTCATAATGAACGAGGACATCTTGAGAATTTCTTGCCTATCACTGGCAGCCACGTGCTCCCAAGAGAGGCCCCTCAACCCAGTCTCTCTCTCCAGCCTCAGGGGTCCCCCAGAGTTGCTGAGCTGGTCCAGGCAGAGCCTACTTCACCCCTTTCCCCATGATCATAAGCCTTTAGGGAAACGGAAACCTTAGGCACTTTTGACCTAAAATATCGTCTTTGTCACATGTATCCACTTAAACATCCTTTCTTTTCTTCTTCTTCTTCTTTTTTAAACAGACACGAGGCAGTTTTTAATATACAATGAAGATCACAAGCGCTGTGTGGAAGCATTAAGTCCCAGTGCAGTCCAAACAGCAGTTTGCAACCCTGACAATGAAGCACAGAAATTCCGATGGGTGTCTGAATCGCAGATTATGAGTGTTTCATTCAAATTGTGCTTGGGGGTGCCATCAAAAACGGATTGGGTCGCTATCACTCTCTATGCCTGTGACCCGAAGAGCGAATTTCAGAAATGGGAGTGCAAAAATGACACACTTTTGGGGATCAAGGGAGAAGATTTATTTTTCAACTATGGTAATAGACAAGAAAAGAACGTTATGCTTTTCAAGGGGTCAGGTTTATGGAGCAGATGGAAGATCTACGGGACCACAGACGATTTATGCTCTAGAGGCTATGAAGGTAAAAAGCAGCAAATTCTTTACCTTTCTGTCACGTTTTTCTCACTTTCTGAGTTGGAAACTAATTTAAGACAATAAGCATATTCCTGTTTAGTCTGTACTAGAAATGTTAATTGATAACCTTTGCGTTTTGAACTATTTTGTTCTATGAAAACTTGACAGTGAATAAATATGGTAACAAGTCCTCAACCTGTTACCTATTTGTAGTTAATGGTAAGACGTTTTTTTTACTTTAGCTAAGATTCTTTTTAAATATGAGTTATAATTTTTAGAAATTAATTTTCTCTGTAGTCTTTGACTAAGAGCCTCCTGTTTGACATTCTACAGTTGTAGTGATAAATGAATTTTGCAATGTTTTTTTCCCTTTGGTTTAAGTTATGCCTGTAGAAATGATTCACGAAACAACATTTTTAACAAGTCAGATTGCCTGAATTGAAATCTTGGTGTTCTTTGACAGTTTGGGTTTCAAAATATTTCTGATTTTTTACCTTATGTGTATTTAGAGACTATAATAATCAGAAGAGTTCAAAGCTGTGGAATTAATTTGTAAATTAATATGCAGCATATATACTCAGCTATTTTAGGTAGCACCGGCAGAGCCGGAAATCATTTTATATGTAGTTGGTACCTTAAGCTCTTGAAGGTTAGATAAAAATCAGAGCATTTAGTCTTCTTGTCTTTTGGCCAAATTTCATTCTCTGCTGGCTGCACAGAAAGAAACAAAAGAAAACAAAAATACAAAAGAACTTAAAGCCCGTTAGAAAAGCTTTTTCAATCAGATGGTGTAATAACCACATTCTAAGTTTGGACACTTGGTTACTATGAAGTGTTATCTAGGACGACCTCAAGGTCAGAGAAAGAGCTGGACGTTTGGGATAAGAGGTTACCTGTTTTCAAAATTACTATGATATTGAGGCTGCAGAGTTTAACCTAGTAATCGTAGCTAGGCAGGGCAGAGGCGTTCAAATCTCTGCAAGGTGGTAATTTGTCAGCTTTCCATTTTCCTTCTATATAAGGAGGACTGAGAGTAGGCATAGAAGAAGAATGCGAAGGAGGACTCAGAAATAAGTTATCCTGAGGCATTTATTGAACAAAATGTAGGTTTAGAAATTACATGAGAGACAACTTATATTGTATAACCTTTCAGGAGAAACTCGAAAGAAAACTGCAGGCAGGATAAGGGTGAACAAGACTTGACTGAGTCAAACCGCAAAAAACAGGACAGTAGTCCTAATTGAAGGATTCAGTGCACGGAAGATTGAGACTAAGACATCGAACTTCTTATTTTATTTTAAAATATATCACTGAGGTTTTGTAGCCCCCCCCCAACCCCTCCCTCTTCTGTTTGTTTTGAGAAAAATATGCATAGGGTACTCAAACTTGAATATGCTTTAGAATCACCTGCAGAGCTA